GGGGCAAGTCTAACCTAGTAAAGATTAATTAGAAACAGATGAGCTATTAATTTAAAATTATGGTCCAGATTGATAAAAAAAAAGTCAAATAAACACATCTGTAGGGCTACTTTATTACTGCAACAAAGCTATCAAATGCATCTGAAACACCAGCTCTTATCCTAAGCCTTTTAATGGCAGCATAGCTTAGCTTAGCGCTCAGTCAGGGTTTGGTAATGACAAATGTATATCAAGCATTTCCAAGAGCTACTGTGTGCCACATTCATATCTAACAAAATCAACAACTTCAACTCCTTCCTTCTCTAGAAAGTCCTTCACTGTCAGACTGTCATCCAACAGGTATTCCTGCTCAAGTAGCACATCACTTGTCTCCCCATCCATAGCACTGTCATTTTTACCACTGCCATCTTGTGCAATAACCTTTGGATTCATTCCCACAACATGTTGTGCTACCTTATTGGCCAATTGCTGCACAGAATTCAAACTAGTAGTGCTATCTTTTGGCCTTAGTGCCACCAAACCCCCATACCTTCCAAGGGAACACCCTGCTACAGATTTTACAAAAGGACCATGGGTGTAACTACCAATTACATTGCTTACTTCAGTTGTCATTGTAACAACTTTGCTAATTTTGATGTTTTCCCCTAGTTTGCCAATTGTTCTTGCCACAGTTTCTGCCACAGTCTCTCCACTGTTCTGCACTTCCTCATTTCTCAATTTGTGCTCTGGAATAACTTCTCTTAAGTGTTCAAATTCACCAGCAAATGTGTTAATTTTTTGATTCTGATCTACAATCTTCTTCCGTTTTGCCATTGCTGTGTTTGCCACATTGGATACCAGGTCCACAAATAGTTCATTCCTTGCTACAAAGTCTGTCTCACAATTAACCTAAAAAGAAACAACAACAACAACAAAAAAGTGTATATTATCTTAACAACAGACAATATCCTTTTTTTCCTCCCTCAAATTTGCACATCATAGGGTAAAAATTCATTTACTCAACTGTACTTAATCCTTAAATTCCTTGTAAAAAATTAATAAAGAAATTCTCCTTATGAGAATAGACAAAATTTACCAGTGCAAAGGTATTTAACAAAATCCTTCTCACTCTTTCATGGGGAAATGTGAAGAGTGGGAATCATAATTTAACAGGTTAGAAATCTTGAGAGTTCAACCACCAGCCAATCGGAGTATCAGAGAGGGTTTCATCAATGATTCAAGGTTGGATGTTTTATCGTATTATTCAAGATTTCTATTGGGGGTTTCTGTAAGTGTCTAGTGCTTACTGGGAAAAATGGACCTTGATTTTAAAAAAACTCAGTTTAAAGACAGTTTACAACAGAAAAAAAAAATTCATGCAAAAGATACATTGTTTTTCAAGCAGGTAAGAGTTTCATAACCTACTTCAACCATGGCACCAAAGTTGCCATCCACTAGAACTCCAACAAGTCCTTCAGCTGCAGCCCTCCCTTGTAGTTTGGCAGCCTTCTCCCAGCCTTGTTTCTCAGCCTCAGCCTTCAGCCATGTCAAAGCTGTATCATAATCATTGTTGCTTGCTTGTAGACCCTCCATGCACTTAGCAAAACCAAATCCAGTTTCCTTTCTCAATCTAGAAAGCAATGATTTGTCCACTTTCCTAGAATTCTGCTGTGTTGAGCTCAGGAGCCGGATGGTCAATCCTACAAATTTTATAGGGAACACGAGATTTGTCACTTTTGCCAACAAGTCTAATAAAAATTTAATGATAGTCACTTAAGGAGAACACCCTCTTCCTCTTCACACTTCAAAAGGCAGCTTGTTTATATATTTTTTTTTACCTTCAACTGCTGAATATGATTGTTCAATGATGCAATCATTTTGTAATGACAATTGAGAAAATGGAGAAATGGTGGAAAGTAGGAAAGAAAAGCCAAAATGAAAAAAAAAAAATTTAAAAATTTAAACTTTTCCTCATTTCTATTCACTAGTGAATCAATACCCTAACATAAACAAGTAATTCAAAACGTAACCCTTTAACCTCTAAGAGTGACTAGTGTCTAATAATTATTATAGTGTCTAATAATTATTATTATTTTTCTCCTTACAATATATATCATCACTAACTCACATGTACATTCTAATGATTACATTCAATCGATTATAATCTGTTCCTTCCTAATCCTATACTTAACTACTTCCGAGTTCAACCTAGCTCAAGGGAAATATCATGGGAAATCTTATTTGAAGATAAAAAAAAACATCCATCTTATATATTAAAACATCTAAAAATATTCTCACGTACATTAATGTAATGAGAATATGGGAAATTATCACCAACTAAAGAAACTCTTGATTGTTAAACAAATTCCCCTTGTCAGCAACTTAGTAAAGGTACAGAGAACGGTATGGAGAATATGAATTCTGATGTTAGGGCGTAAAGGGTTAAATGCCGTCACAATTTTGTCCATGAGTCTAATTCCGCTGATTAATCGTTCTGTGAGTAAGTTGGCTTTTCTCTAATTGATTAGGTATCCTATGACGGACTTTATAACATGATGACTATGTCTACACAATACCTTGTTTAATTCTGGTACTTATGAGAGCGGATCTCGCCCCAAATGTACTAAAAGAGCAGAGTTTGGAACAAGTCACAGCTAAACCCGCCATCTTGAAAAAGAGACTCTATGAGGAAGACTGGTACAAAGCGACCTTTCCTTTCTGCTCTCCACTCCACTTCGTCCCTTTTTGTCTACTTTAGAGTGAGGCCAAGGCTATCAAAACATGGCCTCTGATACGGAAGTACCGAGTCAAACAGCGGTAAATATCTTTGTCGTTTAATACAATGTCTGGAAACTTTTACCATTCTTAGTTTTTTTACATTCATCCTATAGAATCGTCCTCCTCCACATTTGGAAGGAAATTTAATTTTTCACCGTGCAAGCAAGCTTGGAAGACCAAAACGGGCTTTCTTCGTGGTAAGGGCTGCACAAGCGACCAAACTTTCTATGAGTCAGAGTTTCATTTGTTTTCATTCAGCTATTCTTTACAGAAGTATGCATTTTGTGAGTCCGATTTAAAAACTTCCGTACGATTTAAGCGACAGAGTCATTAATGTTTAGAAATCGTGAATTGAAATTGGCCGGAAACCGAAATTAAAATTTCCTCTCATACCTATGGTCTGACGCTGTTGTTCTTGATATTTTTTTAATTACCACGAAGCACCGCTGAAAGTAAAGAGGTATTTTGACGTGGTCATAGCAGTGGTATGTTTGTACTTGTTCAGATGGATAAAGTAAAATGGGAAAATTAACCGTAAAATTTACATCATGAGCTTTTGGATGCTTTTGTAATTTTACTCCATAAACAGGAAGGGTTAGCTCTTCACCTAAACTTTGATCACTTTTCTTTTCTTTTTTTTTTTTTTACATTTTTATATTCCAGTGGCAGATACATGAGAAGGTTCTAAGGGGTCCAGACCCCCCTTCCTATTAGACCTGTGGATTCTTTTTCTCATCTTGTAACACAAAAATTGTTTAAATCACAAGATTACAGGCTGGTATTCCCAGTATAAAGTATTTGATATTTACTTTTCTTGCAATATTTCCTAGCTTATTTAGACCATGTTAAAAAAAGAGAAATTTCTTTGTTTCAGAATCAAAGGTTGGACCCCTTATTAAAAATTCCTGGATCTGTCCCTGTATTGAATAACAAAGTTGATGAATAACAGCATTTATAATTTTCTCTTGATCTACAGCTGTTAGAGACAGTGATATATCAGTATGAAAGCAAGGACATGTATTATAAGAGGCAAAGATCAAAAGAGGATTTTAAAATATGTCTAGAAGAGGTAAGTTAAAATTATCATTGTGCTTATAGATGTAATTGAAGTTGTACAATACTGTAATTATATTAAGCTATATTATCAAAAAGTTAGTATTAGTCAAGGTATTAATTGGCCCACATACCTGTCAAATAACTGCAAGTTATTATTATTCATGCAGTTAATTTCAGAGCCTGATTGGGACTTTCGTCATTAATTCCATTCAGTTATAAAACTTACCATACATCATAGAATTTGCTCATATGGATGATTGTTTCAAGGCTTGACACTTGATGTAGTTATCATTTTGCTAATCATTGGTGATTATGTTGTTAGGTCAGTGGTATAACAGAAATTTTGATGTCCAGCAAACAATACGAGAACTGCAGCTTCAAGCTGACACTTAATGGCGAAGAGGCTAAAGAGTACAAGTTTTCTGCTGAGGTACTGATTCTAAAGTTATCTACACCCCTTATGCCATAATGTCAGTATGCATACTCTTTACTGTGTTATATACATTTCCTAAGGTGCTGACAAGGATAATTTGTTTAACAATCAAGAGCATCTTTAGTTGGTGATTGTTTCCTTTTTTCATCCTTAATGTTTGAATTAGGGGTAATATCATGGAGAGGAACTACCGGTATATGCTTAAGTTGCTCTTAATGGTTAAAGAGTTAAAAGGGGCCAAATGTTTTTTGATTATTACACCTATAGACACCACTTTGCCAGAGATCCAAATTTCCTTGCAGGAATCTGAAATCTAGCCATATTTTTAGTTTTACCAATTCCCCCTTCTCCTATTAGAGAAAAAATAATATTTGAATTGAGGGCTTCACTCAGTGTCTCCACATACTGAAACTAAAATTGACACAGGTTATCCAAAGCTTCAAAATTCATTCAAATATGAAACAACCCTTAAACAGAAAGTTCAAAGTTTAGAAGGAGTTAAAATTTGTTGATTTGACTCTTATTTTAAGGAAGAGTTATTCAAATTTACTTTTATCTGGGAGATTTTAAAAGTTTTAAATGTGATAAAGAGGTTTTTCTTGCATAGAGGAGACTTCCAGATATTTTGGAGAGTTGGCCAGTACACACAGTGCTGTACCGCATACATCATGCTGTGGAAGAAGCCCATCATTTATGAATTGCCATATAAAAATTGAAATAACAAGCTTTCATGGCAATCAGTGTACTAAATATGGCTCTGGTCTTCATGGTGATTTTCTTTTACAGTCTAGGCAAGCAATGGAAGACTGGGTGAATGGCTTAAGAGAGGCTAAAGAGTTTTGGATACGGCATTACAAGAGGCAAGCATTCAAGAAGCAATTCATCAATCAAGGAAACTTTGCAGATGTGTCTGGCCCAGTTTATGACAAAGATGAAAGCCTAGTAAGTTTTCAGGACAGTTAATATTCCTTCCCTATTTAAGCAAAAGTGATCATTACAAATAACAGCAATTTGCACATAATGTTTCAATAATTTCTTTTTTAGGCTGACAGCATCAGCTGTAGTTCAAGTGAATGCTGGTGAGACCTCAAGAAGTGTATATCTTGCAGTTTAAAATAAATTCAGGTTGAACTGATTTCAACTAATTTGATTGGAATTTTCTGTTGTTTATGAGATATGCTTATTAACCCATCCAGAGCAAAGGAGTGAAGAAATCTATTTTGTTTAAGATTAATTTGATCTAAAAGTACAATTTTTAACTACTACATATACAACTGCACAATATGTTTTTTTTTTGGTTATTATTTTTGACTCCACTTTTCACTCTGTAATCCAGATGCTGAGAGAAGCATCTGGCATTAACCCTTTAACCCTTTAACTCCCATGAGTGACCAAGACAGAATTTCTCCTTACAATATCAATACAATATCAACCAGATAAGTGATGAGAATAAAGAAAAATATCAATTTGGGGATAATTAGTTGATCCAATACTAAATTCTCTAAACTAACATTACATGAATTGCATGGTTGACAGTAAGGATAATTTGATCCAAGAGTTAACTCCCACAAGTGATTAACATAAAAATTCTCACTACAATATCCATACATTCTTCAGCAAATGAGATGATTCAAACTTATCAGGTAAAAGCTGTTATCTTGATCTGGCACCAAGTTCTCATAACTAATTTACAAGGAAATGTGTAGCAGCTAGAGGGGAGAATTAACAATCAGATCTTGGGAGTTGATGGGTTAAAGGAGCAGTGTATTCCTCTGCGTCTGATGCGTTAACTACACTGAAGTGGTTAACACTAGAAAAAAGGCGCTTCCAGCGCCGATGCGTACATGTATATAAATGTCTTAATGGTCTCACGCATCACGAACTAACATTAGTCACTCAGCAAGAACAGCATAGTTACAACACAAGAAATAAAGCAAACCTCAAAATTCCATCCGTTAAAAGAAACTGGGGCAAACAAAGAACTGGCTATCATGCTGTAAGTGATTTTAACTCGCTGGACAAAACTATACGAGCCTCTGATAATGTAAATATTTTGAAGCGTCAGATTTTTAATTCATTGATTTAAGTTTTGTATTACACATAAGATACATTAGTTTTTAGTAGCATCTTTTAGCATTTTTATTCATTGTAAATTTTTAATTTTTAATTTTCGAGGTCCTTTTTGTAAACCACTTTTTAGTGAAAAAGTTTCCTCATTAAAGATTGTCATTATTATATTATTATTTATTATTATTAGCAATTTTTGGTGTTGACATGCTGTTGTGCACTGTATGTACATGTTATAAACTTGCTTTAATTGCTTTTTTCCAGTGAGCTAGTTCATGTATCTGTCACCACATGGGATAAAAGAACTTACACAGTTCTCCTTCCATGTGTGTTTGATATGGATGAGTTGTTAGTTGCCCTACATACAAAGTCACAAACTAAAAGATGTGCTGGCTGCCACGTTTGTAAGCTTCAACAGTCATCAATGGAAGTATGGACAGTAACAGCTAATGGAATTGGTAACGTTTTATGTTTGTTATGGTTAAAATCATTTTGTATTAAAAAGGGTGGAAAAACAATTTTAATCCAGCAAATGGTCTTAAAAAACAAAAGGAGTCCATTTGAAATTGCTGTTTAGTGGCATTTTGTAATACACAATAATAATAATTATAATATTACTAGTGATAATGATATTTATTATTTGTAATGTGCATTTTACATGTGCATATGATCAAATGCCCAATGAAATAAATAGAATAAAGTAAATATAAATGCTAGATAAAAATTTAAATATACAGCCTTGTATCAAAATATACAAAACGATTAAATAATACAAACAATATCAAACAAAAATTTAAAAACTTGAATAAAAACTTTAAAACTAAATATCAATTGTGATATGTTACATTGAAATAGTATGTCTTCAATAGAGATTTAAATTTAATTAAGTTATTTACATTTCTTATTGAACTAGGAAGACCAATCCAGAGTTTAGGAGCTACACTGGCAAAAGCCCTATCAGCTAAAGTTTTCTTCGTTCCAATGGTTAATGGTTGTAATAAAAGCTCATCAAAGGCTGTTTATCTTAATAAAATTAATTTTAATTTCATTTATGGCTAAAAGTTAAGAACAGTAACTGATGAAAAAAAAAGAGATTTTTGGAACAAAAACAACTTTGAAGGCTGTGGCAGACTTTATAGCAGAGTACAGCTAGCCCACCAAATTGAGCAATCACATTGTGCACATAGCAACAGAGAGATGAAATATAAAAGGTTTTTAGGCTTTCTTGTGTTGTGTAGCATACCGGCAAGGGGAGACTTTCTTTGTGCAAGAAAAATTCACTGGATCATTCATTGATGTGATAGACTACTACACTTTAATTTATAATCAAGAAGACACCCGCACAATTTCCTTCTAAAGTTGCTTGAAGTTAGAATTTTTTTTACAACTAACTTGTATTATATTTGCATTGTGAAATCAGCATTGGTTTATTTTTAATTCCAGGGCACAGATTTGACATTGAGGATGGTACTTTAGACATTTCCAAACTTGGAAACCGCTTCTATCTTTTAGTGCACAATTACAAGGTTGGTAATTTAAGTTAAAGTTTAACTGAGAAGTTATGTGTTCAGAACTTAACTTTGCTTGCGTACATCACATGATAATTTGAGGTGCTTTGTGAATTAACTGTCCCCTTTATATCAAGACCGAATTCTCGTTTTTTTTTCTTTTCCCAGCTACTGATTATTCACTTTGATGATGGCACATTTCAAGTACTTCCTTCTTTAGTTTCCATAAAAGCAAAAGAGGTAAATGGAATGTCTGATTAACCAATTCACCCCCATGAGTGATCAGCAGCTGAATACTTCTCACATTATCACCACTCCACCAAACATAAGGGTCATGAGAATAAAAGATATGATCACCGAGTCAGTAAGCTTTTGACTGATAAACAAGGTCTCCTTTTCAGTACAATTAGGAAATGTTTAGAGAACAGTGCGGAGAATATGCATGCTTATGTAAGGGTGAAAAGGATTAATTTTACTTAAAGTAGTGGTTCCTAGAGAGATACTTTTGTCACTGTTGTGTTAGCAAACATACATTGTACACTGTTGTAAGTAGAAAGCTTGGAAACTGCTACCACAGTGTAAGTTCACTCTGAATTTGGATGGTGGATAGCAAGACTTTTTTTCCCTTAACACTTGTTCCCCAGTTTAGGCATACATATGGGAGCATAGTAATATTACTCTACACATTTCCTTGTTTTGGTCCTTACATCTTAAAGTATTCCCACTAGGAAATAATGTACAGTTTAGTTGGACTGGATCTAATTTTTTTTAATTTAGAATGGTTGTAGTAGTTACCACTGTGTCACTTGATTTCTATTATCTGCACATCTCATGGTTCCTGTGACAGATCCACTGGGTGGGTCTGAAACACACTCCCCCCCCCCCCCCCCCCCCCCCCCCCCCCCCTCCAATAGACCCAGATTGTTTTATTACTTTCCTTAGAGCAAACTTCGTTCAATGACAGGATTGCATATAGCTATGTGATTTGAAGCATTTAAATTTGCTCAACTTCAAATTTTCTGAGCTTATTTAGGCTCCAGTAATGAAAATAAAAGAAATTCTGCTTTTTCTGAAGTTTTTGTTTCCAAACTGAAGTTCGAGGTAGGGGGACTGGTACCCAATTCCATGAATATTCCAGCTACTTTTCCACATCATTTTACAGTGTAGAGCACATCATTTTACAGTGTAGAGCACATCATTTTACAGTGTAGAGAAATGAACGGTCTTTTTCCAATTATTTCAGGTTCCTCGTATTCCTTCTTTGGCTACCAAACTAGAGTCTCTTGGTATCGAGAACTTTGGTTTATTTCTGGTTAATGACGATGGAACATGTAAGTTGTATATCTAAAGTTTATTTCAACCACGTCCTTTGTTGGAAAAGCGGAGCACTTAACGTTAAGGAAGAGTTTTCCTTGATAGTATGGGTTGTGTAAAAGGCTTTATCGCTAAGAACATCTCTTGCTCCATCTACAACGATTTAGTGTTATTGCCTACCTATATGAATGGAGTTGCGTCTTACTTGTGTTTCCGAGATCCACACAACTGCATTCAAAAACAAGAACTAACTTAACTTAGAGATTGACGTTCGTAGTCAGAAAGCTGCGCTCACATGTATAAAACCTTCCGCTCCTAGGAATCCTAAATTATAACACTTATGTGTTATAATTATAAACAGTTCAAAGTTAGATTAAAAGAGTGACTGATTACACGAAACCAGTCTGACAATGAGCGAATAAAAATATGCGCAATCAGTGTAAGCGTAAGAGTCAGTTACAGATCAGATAAGACTCTTTTGAAACACGAACTTGCTCACGGAAAAAATAATGATCATTGGTTTCCTCAACGGAGAAACACGATCACTTATTGCTGTATAGTATTTCCACAATTACCCTTGTTTATCTTTTTTCTTTTTAAGCAAATCTTTTTACTCCCGAGGAGGAGCCACTCAAACATTCTCTGCAAGGTATAATCTACATATAAACACTTTTTGTGCTCAGTTTTTTAGAGAATATGAAAACAAAGGGTTAATACTCAGGTTCAATACAATTGATGCTCTGGTCAGCGCACATTCTAAGTCACTAGAGTAGAGTGCATACCAGGATTGTTCTCGTTGTTGGGCATGCGCACTGACGGTGTTAGCGGTGACAGCTGATGCGACCTTGTCCAACCCACAATAAAGATGGCAAAAGGCACTCTTAAGTATGGCACTGTTATTAAATCAATGTACTGTGAAACCGTCCTAACGAATGGCGATGTGACGTTTATTGGGTAAAGTAAGATTCAGGAACCAATATCCGGTTTTGGTAAATCGTAACCAGTTACTGAAATGTGTCGATAGGAAGTTTTGCGACGGGTATGTTCTTCAAGAGTGCCTCTGCTATAATCACTTTTTAAACTCTGGGGCGTCATCTTGGTCCAAGACATAATGTCCTCTGCAGATTGTGATTCTATTGATCATGTTAAGTTAAGACTGCTTACTTCTAGAAGGAAGTAACCATTCTCATGAATCTAAAAACCGTGACTGTCAAGAGTGCCCCTGCTGTAATCACTTTTTAAACTCTGGGGCGTCATCTTGGTCCAAGACATAATTTCCTCTGCAGATTGTGATTCTATTAATCATGTTAAGTTTAGGCTGCTTACTTCTAGAAGGAAGTAACCATTCTTATGTAGCTTGCACCGATTTTGATAAATGACTTCATGTTATTGCGTGATAAACTTTGATTTTCTGTCTTTGTGAATCATGTAGGAAGGCTGGTTCTAAAAACCGTGACTGTTTCTACACCTCTCCGGCCGCGGATTTCAGAAATTCAAAGAAAAAAGGTAACCAACGAAGTTATAGACTTCTTAACAATGCAACGGCTATCATATTGACCTTATGGTTTGGGTGAAGCGATGCAGTAATTACCAGTATTTATCACTGAAATAATACCAAAGTCATTCGCTGTGATTTACAGATCCTAGAATCTTCCCTTTTATGTACCATTGTTCTTAATTCAATGCACGGTTGTCGTTGCAACGAAAGGTGACGCGACTTTGATGAAGTAAAGTAAGGTTCAGGAACTAATGGGATGTCCTTTTGGATGTCTGTTAATCGTAACTACTTTCGGAAATGTGGCAATAAGGAGTTTGTATGGGAGTAAAAACACTCGAAGACGAAGTTATTGAGAGGATTATCTCCATTTGGCTTAAACTCCTCTTTGGAATTAATCGCTCTGACGGAGGGCTAATGCTCGAAACGTCAACTTGGAAACTCTTTATGGTGGTCACTTTACATTATCAACTCAGTCGATAGAAAAAATTATTTCGAGATTAATCGTTTGTTTCACATAGGTTACCATTATTCATTTTTGAAATAAAGTGTGTTTATACATATTGGTCCTTAACTATTCTTTTAGGACCAATCCTAGCACACTTTTCATCCCACATCATACATTACCTCTCTGTGCATTTTTGTTGAAATCCTATAGTAATCTTCTGTACTTGCAGCTGAGGAAGTATCAGCAGAACCGAAGGCAAATGGAGGCGCTGAAAAGAGTCGAAAAGGAAAAGTGTCGGCATAACAGTAATTTGAATGTAAGTAAGACAGACAAAAATGAGGTTTCATGCCCCGATGGTCTTGTGTTTTACGAACAGCATTTTGGAATGTCAAATGACGTCATAAGCCCTTCTAGATTGGATGGCTGTGTAGATATGTCAATGGACGCTGAGAAAGACAGACGAAGTGGCCCAACGAAGCTCGTAGCTTCGATTGAAGCTCGCAGAATTTCTCAAGAAGCGGAATATTGTATCGATGATGATGCCGAGTTTCTTTCCGTTGAGGAAACTTTTAAAGGCTCGTATGAAAAAGGTGAAGATGAAATTGAAGTAAAAGTTGCGGACAATGTTAGTAAGAAAGATAGTGACTTAAGTGTTTGGTCCAGACCGGACGATGGAGAGATCTTTGATGATGACAACGTTGCTTTGAACACCTCTTCTTTAGCGACGCCTGAGTATGCGCTAAATGACGAAACAGAGGAACAATTATCAAAATCATCTTCTAAAGGGAATTGGTACGCTTCAGGTCGATGTGCAGTTAGGGATTCTAACAGCGAAGAACTTTTTTCAAACGGCGATAAATCGTGTGAAATAAGCCGAAGGGTTCCCAAGTCAACTGACGTTGGGATGGTTTCAGAACCATACAGTCGTAGTAAAGATACAATTGCTAAACTTAACTCTTGTAGCGAGCCAGGAAATCATAATAGGAATTCTTTGTTAGTCGACGATGTGGAGGCCATCGCCTGCTTAAAGATTGACACAGAAAGCCAGGAAATGAAAACAACTGTTAACAATCCTTCACTGAATGCAAGTACTGAGAGTAAGTTTGAAAGACACCTGCTATGTGTGACAGACAGCGATGACAAATCTCCTTCAGTTCCATGCGAGTTCCTGCATCCCACAGAACCATTAGTGAAGAGAACGGATAATCAGGATGGTTTTTCCAGACTTTCAACAGTAATTGTCAAGGAAGGGGACAATAGTTGTGCCTCCTGTGCTCGTAATGAGCAATGTGATTTTACCATCATTAGCTCGCCTCGTGTTCTAGAACTGGCTCTGAAGATTTGCTCTGGTCAAAACGTCAACGAGGAGGAAGTAGGTGAAGCCAACAAATTCTCCAGAATTTGTCTTTCTGGTTGGCACTTACAGTGTGAAAATGGATCGTGGGCTGTAGTTGAACGCGGAGTTCTGCATTCACACAATGATATCCTCTCTTCTGAGGTGAAAGTGCATTTATCAGACAGGTTTGAAGCTTTCTTTAACAGAGAGGAGAAGCTCTGGACTGTGATAGAAAATGAGCACATTCAGAACGAACACTCCTCTTTTAGAAATGAGATTCAGAATGAAGTTGTGAGAGATACTTTTACGGCAACAGAAGACTCGCCCAGGGATCAAGATGACATTATTGAAGAGCGAGTGGTTACGCCAATACTTAGTCAAAGCAACTCTCTGGAGAATATTTATGTCAAGTCATTAGATTCTAAAGTTAGTGATGATGGAACTGAAAACTTAACGGGTGATGAAAGACCAATACCAACCGGGGGGAATGGCGATGTTGGCAGGCCAAGAGCAGAGTCTTCGTCCCAAGGAGCACTTTATGCAGCCACTCAACGAGTTTTCTTACACATTGTCGAGTTCGGTGAAGAGCCCGAAGAGGCACTTGATGACACCAAACATGAAAGTTTGATCGAAAATGTTTGCAGTCCTCTATGCAGCGCCCTTTGGAACATGTTATCAATCGGCGTGCGAAAAAAGTTTATTGGGAAATACACATTGTGGAACATAGTTGAAGAATTGAAGGACATTTCAGGCGATGTAGAATTGGCAGTGAACTGGGTAAATAACAGATGTGCTCGTCTAAGTGATGAGCAAAAATTCCAAGCGTTCGTTTGTGAATGTCTCAACATCGGACGTGGTACTTTGAATCAATGGCTGGAAGAATTCGTTAAACAAAACAAGACGAGAGGTGATGGAAAAATAGGAAAAAAGTTCTACAGTCAAAGCGGTATAGTTTTTCAGCTCTCTGGTCAAACGCTCGAAGAACTAGTGTTGGATTTATCACGAATTAGCGGTCTACCTTTCAAAATTAATGTAGAGAGGTGGATCAAGACAAAGGGCACTAGCCTTCATGAGACACCTTTTACATTTGAATGACACTGTTTTGTTTTGTTTTGTCTTTTTGGGGGGGAGGGTGGGAGAAAGGTTACTTATTTTTAAATACTAAGATTTTACACTGACATACTATCGTTCGTGTCTTTGACCAGATGAACCATGTATTTTCACAATTATTGGCTTCCGACCTTTGAATTAAAATGTGAAAAATCTCAATATGTATGAAAGAAAAACATCATACTATAGAAAGTGTTTGAGCGATTTGTATTCACTCGTTGCAATGCATAAAAGACTCACTCGTCTTTTTTTTTTTTTTTTTTGATGCATCGCAACTTGTGAATTAAAATTATTCCTGCGCACTTTCCATGGAATAATCTCTTTTATCCTCGAATTAAAAGCCCGTATATTTTATAGTGCTCGAAACATTAACTTTAATATTACTTTTCAGGCAATGTTTTAAAATAGTTATGGTCATAAAAACAAAAATGGTTTACTTCATGAAAACGGAAACATTCATTTCATATGTATGTAATTCAGCGTTCTTTGTTATATTTTGAAAACTTTTCATGGGTTCATTCCTCTAAAAACTTTTTGCAGGTTTTGTCACTGTGTACTTCAATCATTGAAATAAAAGAAAACGAAAGATGTCTTGTATTGTGAACGGAATAAGTAGTGCAATTGTATAAATTCTCCATCTAAAAACTCTCTGTATATTGTGTAAATGTTTATTCGTAAATTTCAATTATAGTGTAAACAACTGCAGGGAAAATGCCGTATTGTAAGGCGTTTGCAATCAAGAGGTGTATGGCGTTGCAATGATGGATTTTCATTGTAAATTGTATGTTATCTACACCTGTCATGGCTCTGTTATGGACTAAATGAAAGGTTCATCAGATGCTCTTGTAATTCACAAGCTCAGTCGTGTGTCTAGACTAGTTTTTGTTACTTTGCTGCGAGTCAATTTAAAACGTTGATTCATAAGCCTTAGTTAAAACCACTACAGACCCATTCAATTCGGTAAAGTATATTTGACACGTACCCCAGTACCTCAAGTAATCGCTATTGCATGCTTTAGGTTTGAACGCACACATATGTCTAATTTTGCATAGAGGTTTATGGACCAATATCATTTTAACCCTCTACACCCTAACATCAGTATGTATATTCTCTATACTCCTCTTTATGCATTCCTAAGGTGCTGAAAAGGAGAATTTATTTAACAATCACTAGCTTTAGATCATTATTTCCCATATTCTCGTGAACTCAATGTGTGATTTAGGGTGATATTGTGGGGAGGAATTAAATGCTAGTCCCTCTAAGGGTTCTTAGGGTTAAACTGACTTGGCTTCTTAAGTTGTTTTCTGCGAATTTCCTTTCGGCACTTTGAGGTTAATCTTGAAGATCTTTTAGGCCCCTCATCATCACAAACACATTTCCGTTATGATCTTTCAGTTTTTGTGACATTGCTTTTTGGATAAACTGGCTCACCAGCGTTTCTAACTGTTTGGCCTGTTTTTCTTCTAATGCCGTCGTAGCATCTGGGAAACCATTGGTCTTATAACTTTGCCACCAGGCCATCCCAATGTCTTTTTCGTCGCCATGCCAACTGTCTAGCACTTGTTGTATATCATATTCGAGTTCGATTCGAAAGCACAGGCTAACAGGACAGGTCGATAACAGATGGATAACAGATGAATTTCGAGAGGAGAAAACTCCTCCACAAGAACAAAGCGCTCGTTCCTTGCGACTGACTTGTTTTAAGAAGGGGTCGCTGTGTGTTCCTGATATTCTTTGATCCGCTAATTCGTTAGTTGTGTGATCAGCAAAGTATCTTTTGTTTTCCAATGGTGATGAATTAATCGGAGCTTTACAGCCGGAATTTCGTCGACAATCTTGTGTCTTATTCATTGTACTGAATTTACGCGGTTCCCCCTGAAAAGAAATTTGTGTTTCGTATTTGATTTTATCCTCGGTCAGCATGGCTTCGGGAGTTTCACATTCGTTATTAATGTACAGTTCAACCTCATCTTCCAGAATTCGTTGAAGTCCCGAAGGAAAATCGGAGTGTTCGCACGTTGCATCTTTTTCTGTAATATAAATAGCTTGACTCGAATATTCGTCGCCGCAATCTTCATTTGAGACAACACTTTGATCAGACTTTTTTTCTAAGCTCTGTAAGGTAGAATCTGATCCAACGGACTGATAATCATTGATGTTACAGGTAGTTGTCCTGGTCCATTCAAGCGTCAACGAGTGTGTTTCTAAAGTACTCTTCAGTTGCCAACTTTTGAGGTGTCCTTGACTGTTAATGTTGTGTATGAGGTTTATCAATACCGGCGGTAATGTGATTTCTTCCATAACACAAAGTTACATCTCCTTAGAAATTAAGCTAGAAAGTGAGGATCCTTTCTCTATTAAGATCTTGATTGAGTAGAAGAAAATCAATCTTAGAATTACCTGTGAGTCAATTCTCAATGATAACATTATTGTTTCGAATGCTTAGCTTCGCCCCAAGAAACAAAATTTGATAAACGCATAAATAATGCACGATCTTTTTCGTGCAATTATGTTTATGATTGGACGAAGATAAAACAGACCGCATGAAACAGGTGAAAAAAGAATGGATTTTCTAGAAAGAAAACCACACGAAATCAAAACGCGAATCAAAAGCCGCTGTATTTTCAGGACAAAATTTTTCTGTGTGAAAAACGAGAAACGAGCTTGAGAAACAAAACCATCCTTACGGTTAACTGTAGGGATGTGTTCGAATCAGTTCGTTACTCATTCCTGGCAGATTAGCATGATGTATTTCACATGCTGATTGAATATTTTTGTTCAATGTTATTTAATTTCAAGTATGAACTAAACGTTCTAGAAATTCTCCCTTCTAGCTAACAAAATTTTCTTGGTAATTAAATACAAGAATTTGGTGTTAGACCAAGACAACAATTTCTACCTGATAAGTTTGAGTATTCTCGTTACCCGCTTGTTGGATTTATAATGTATGGATATTATAGAGAGAAGTTATAGGGTAATCACTTCGGGGTGATAAATGGTTAAAGGAGTATGTCTGATTGTATCGTATGAACTTGAAGAACAGCGGTGTGATTAGGCCAGACCAACCTTTTCAAAATTTCGAGCGCTGATCACGCTTTAACTTATGCGCACAAGGGATGTGCAATGTAATAAGAAGGACTGAGAATGAATATAAGGATGACTCCTGTCTAGACTAATGATATTAGACAACGAACATTACATGGATCAACAGATATATACTCAGGCAAATCAGTTCAACGTCACAAAGAATAAAAAAAATGGGATATATCCACTCGAAACTTCCGTGGTCAAATGGTTTTTAGAATAGTAATTTTCACTCCATTTATCATGTTTTTAGTTTCCACACATTGGATTAATTTCTCTTGACAAATAAGCAGTAAGTATAGGCGGTCAGCTGTTGAAATGCTGAAAAGATTCAGTCAAACGTTTAGTGCAGTTGCTCACTAGGAACCAAAATTAGTTGAACACCCTCGGGAGAAGAAAAAAAGTTTCCGAAGTAGAAGTGTCTTCAAAGAGGACCTCCATTGACGTAAGAAAATAAAATAAGAATGCGATTTCCACAATTACTTTTAAGATGAATGGAATCTTCTGGATCACTGGTGGACCAAAGAAGTGCTATTTATTGTCTGATTTCTGCCGAGGAGCTGCAGGGTTTTTTTTTTATTTTCCTTCTTCCAAGTATCATGTGTTTACAGGTGAGGCAACCAACGTCTGCAATTCAATCTGCACACTCGCTCTCTAACCTCCTTACTTTATGTCAAAGTTTATTTATTTACTTTCACTGAATACAAAGAAAATAAGTAGAAACCATAGCGAGTGACGAAATGGCGTACTTGCGAAAGATACTGCATAAAGATTCGGCGAGAAACAATCCCACCAGAACAAGTTCGAAGGGGGTGAAAGCACAAATAACGGGGATGAAGATTTAAAGAACTCTTTTTCGTGTGGTTTCCCCTTCGGAAATCCGTTTTTCACTTATCATTACATCAAATCAGTGTTCAATTCGACGAAATACAAGAGGAACATGCCTTAAATTACGACCACTTCGCTTTTTCGATACCTTCGTTTGGTCATAAAATAATAATTTAAAAGGGCGTGCATTTTACAATTCTTACATTATTTAGTCTAATAAACAAGACCTTAGACAAACAGAGGAAAGAAGGTCTTTAAAGAGGCCTGTTTGATATGATACATCGTGTGAGTTAATCAGTTTCCACAGCATTTCCACAATGCCACCGTACTCCATTCATTATTGCCAGCGGCCATAATGTGTACGCCTGACGCGGAAACTAAATTGAGTCAAATGATCTGTGATTGGTAAGAGTAACAAGTCAAAGAACGAGCAGAACACTTTTAAGAGGACGTTGGTAATTCTTGTTTCCATAAGAGCGCTGGATCGTCCGAATTAATCATTTCGAAAATTGGTTGCGAATTGGAACGATCCAGGCGCTCATATGGAAGCAGGCATTGGATTTGTTCATCATTTCGTGGGTATTCGTATAACTTGGGAAAGATAGGCTTAATTTTGTAAAGCAGTATCTTATTTTCTGTAAATTGAATGACATTCTCGTTAACTTAGTTTTCCTTAATGGGAGGCTAGGAAAACAGAACACAGGAGAGGCTTCAAAGTTGTGAAACGTGGTCAAAAAATGAGGAGACATCTATATGACGTGGTATATTAAGCTGCATTTAGACTGGCGGGGTTTGATCTCAATGAATAACCAAAGATACGATTTTTCCGAGGGAAAAGGTTTGGGGAATTATGCTCTACTCGAATGTTATAAATGCTTTTTCATGCACTGCGTCGAGTATTAATATGCTAAAACTACCAACCTCCCCACTTCTTTCCACTCGATGAAGTCGCGGACCAAAATGAACTGGACGTGGCAGTTACCATGTTCTCTGGTATCCCTGTGCTCATTATCAGGGATGTCTCGTTCTTTAAATTATAAAAGTACTGGGAGGAAATAACCTTCCAGGTCACACCGTCATTGGTGCTTCGGTGAAAGTTCATTTTATGGTCTACTCCAAAGAGCGCTGCATTTGTAGGGTCGAAAGCAATGATACTGACGATGGATTCATCAAGACCTAGTAAATTACATATAAGGAGTTTTAGTTGGCTCAGTCAAAAAGCCACAATATTTTGCACCACTATTCAAACGATTGATTCTGCTCAATGAGTGCAACACTGACCCAACATTGAACATCTATTGTCTGGTTCGGAGAGCAAGTGTAATTTTATTTTTTACTCGGATCTCGATATTCCAAGGGACGAGTTCGAGAGAAACATTTTAACACGAGCATTCCCTGAATCATGTTCCCTAGAAGGTCTGCATCTTTTTCTTTTTACTGCTGAATGGAAAAACGTTACAATTTTTGTGATTTCGCTCCTGACTTTGTTTGTCCACGAAAAATTTCACCTCCGCCAAACCATGCTCTCATCACGTTTTCTCCATATAAAAAATAAAAGAAAAAGATAAACCAAATGGAACTGAGTTAAAAGTAACCAAGGCGAGGTGATCGCTAATTACTCAGTTATAGTCTAATTTATCAGTAATGAAGACCTTGAGTGTAACAAAAGGACTTCTTACACACCCATGGCTAAGTCGTTTAGTGACCGCCTGGCCTCTCTTGAATTGACAGGTACTCTGCCGGGGATTTTATATTTGACAAGAACATCAAAATTCAATGTTCCAGTGCGCTAACCGTTCCAGTGTGCTAACCATTGCTCTCCCTGATAGCTTAACATTACCTGTCCAATCCATTCCGTCACTCGAGAAGAAACAGCTGCTCTCTGATCTAGCAAACAAGAGAATTAATTTGATAACTCATAGAATGAGAACTTCTTCAAAGAGATGTACTCTACCTATTGAAAATCACTTTTTACTCACTTTTGCTCAGTGTACATGCAGACATAAAACCGTCCGGAGTCTGGGTCCAACAGTACGGCCCTCCGAGAGTATTCGTGGACACCTGCCGATAAAAAACATGTTCGACTAAGGATTGTTTCTTTTAAGAATTGTGAATCCAGCAGGGTCTGAACAGTCAACTGATAACAGGTTAGGGTTAATGTTGTGCTAGGGGAGGGGTAGGTGGGCTGATAATTTGTATGTTGAAATTAGGGTGTGAAGGTTCACATACCCCCAAACGGAGGCAACGGTTCAGCCATGCAGCCATACAGCTCAGCTCGCATTACTTTAAGAACTGGAGCGCTGGTGGGAATGAAACGCACATAGCGCGCCGTGAATGGCTCAGATAATTTCACCAGAATCGGATTTTTAGCTTCTTGGCCATTTTTTGGACCATTCAGCTCCTGCAACAGAAAACGACGAGAATTAGATTGCATGCGGATGTTACATGGCCACACTGAGGTTCAAACTCTTTCCTCAGGTGCTGATGGTGTCTCTGACGAAAATTGTCTCTGACGAAAATAGTCTCTGCGAACGCGTAAAGGGATATAGGACCCAGACAATATGTTATGTTGATTGAATACAACTTGAAAATCAGAATCAAGGACAAGAGTCGCCATAACACATTCGTCATATTTGGAACATCAGCAAAAAGGCCGAATTCCTGTCGTTTCCCTCTTCAGTGTGTTTTTATCCAGCGTTGTTAGGGACATGGTTATATTTTAAGTACGAGGGAGTTGCGCTCCTTAGTTTCGTTGTGGATTTATTTGTTTGGTTGATTGTTGTTGCTTTTATTCTGAAGCCGTCTATCAAGGTGGTCCGGTTTTCCATCTTCCTCAAATAAGAACAGTCTAATTCAGATCAGAATTTGAATAGCCACATACAATTCATTTCATTTCGGACCTACACGCACACTTTTTAACTGCGAATATTCCCATTTCCAACCCTCTACTTACCAGAATTTTCTTACCCCCTAAAATGTGCGACTCCATTCTTGTAACTCTATCGAAAATGTAACCCTATTGTGGTCAATCCAGTCGTGAAAATGCGAACCCATTCAGCGGTACATCCCCATTAGCCCATAACTAGGAAGTAAACCCCCTCCCCCCACGTGGGATTTTTTTGTCAACTGATTAGCTATATCGTGAGGATTAGAATCTTGAAAAATGAATTCGATAATTTGGTTCCCGTTTAAATTTGAAAGGTCGTTTTATCTTTCTATATCGTCTTTGTGAAAAGGAATCAGATCGTCAGAAATTTTCAACTTTACCTTAACGATTCCATTTTCTGGATAATCTAACCACTCAATACTGTTGTTACTGAACTTCAGCTGAAAACGTGTTACAAAGAACGAACTTGCCCCCTGCGTCGCCACTCGAGTCACCTTCCGCAATGAGCCAAAGTCGACCTGAAGGGGGGGGGAGAAGTGAATTGTTAACATACTCCTTGAAACTGCCAAGTGAAGTAAAACGAAATGTTTTGAGGAAAGGTAAAATTCTATGCCAGACATCGACATTTCACGACTGAGTTGTCATTGGCTTGTTGTGATATGCTCTTTTTACTGGTTAGCCGCTGCGATTTTCTATATTCAGTAGAACTAGGTGTGATTAGAATCTGATTTCTCCTTACAGTATCACCCCTGAGTTGCGCATAAAGGTCACGAGAATAAAGGAAATGATCAACCACTAAAGGAGCTCTTGATTGTTTAACGAATTCTCCTTGTCAGCACTTTAGAAAATGTATAGAGATCAGAATGGAGAATTTGCATACTGATTATAGTTTGTAAAGTGTGAAGCTTAATCAAAAGGCGCTCCCCTTATGCCTCACCCCTTTGTATGAGGGTCTCAATGGGGTGATGGCTTTTACGGCTATCGGTTAAAATTTTGGCCAATTTCCGGCTAACGGTTAACACCTTTCCATTGTTTCCACCAGACATATTTTTTACGGTTAACTTTTTTTACGACTAACGGTTAAAATTTGTCAATTTTTACTTCTAACGGCTAAATATTTTGGCCGTTTTACGGCTAACGGTTAACCCCATTGAGACCCTCTTGTATCATGCCATTGCGTCATGTAGTCCGCCCAGCAGGAAATAGGTGTCAACAGCACAATATTTCTTGGACAAATGACATGTTTAGGTGATTTCCGATCTCACCATATAAACGTATAAAATGATCACAAAAAGCACAAGAACTGTTATGTTGTTATAGTCATTTCGATCTTCATTGCTAATTGATGGCTTTGGTATGTTTCTCATCTCAATCTACCCTAACATTGTAAAAACAGGTCTAGAATGCTAAACAAACCCTGTTGTAATCTACTACACCTGTAGATAATCCAGTTGCCCCAGTGACGCTTGCCAGCCGTAGGGAAATCCAGGGACGTTCTTGTTCAGGCGAATATCAGTAGGATTTGACACTGTTTGGGAAGTGTCCACACTATGACTTACACCTTCATCTGGGATATACCCAGACTCCAAACCAAGGGGGTCGATGCAATTTTCTGTAAGAAAGGCAATGATAACGAGGTAGTGGGCTCTGCTGTTACATCAGGTCTTGCAGAATGCCGTTGGACCAAGAGAGTATCAAATTAGGAGACTACCAGATCGTGGAAGCTTAAAACCTAATTCAGTATTGCCTGAACAAACTTACCAGGAGCGCCTTCAATGGGACAGCCGAACACTTCAAATCTCATGCAAACAAGCTTCTGCCAAGCAAGCGGCCTTATGCGGATGCTGTGCGCCTCAATTTCATTTTTCAGGTGGTGAGAAACTGAGGTGGAACTGTCGAAATTCCCAGGGAACTCCTAAATGGAAAACAATTCAAAGCATATCCATACTCAAAAAGAAAACGACTGATCTAGTTTTGTCGTTTATAATTGAGAGAGTAAAAAGAAAAACGTTCTTGTGGCTTTTAAAGTGGAGCTCTATACAGCCCTTTGCCCTGGCGTTCAAAGAGAGGATAATACCAGACAATGGATAAATCGCTTTCTAATGGATAAAAGTAAACAAAACGTATTGCAATTAACACTGGATAGAGAGCTATCCAGTTGTCAACCCTTGATAACTGAGAGTTATTAGCTTTGGTGAGAGAGTTACCAGCGCTATCGATCCTTCGAACAACTGTGGCCTAAAGTTTTTTCGAATATTTCGACATCCATGCATAAGTTGATAACGATTTCATAACCACCAGATAAGTTCGTGAATGAAATCAATCGAGTTCTAGGGGTATTTTGAATGAGTAAGCTCGAGTAAACTTTGCAAGGGACTTAAACAATCGCCCAAACCCATAAGGCCTGTACAATTTTCTAGCCTTTCAAAAAATTCCCAGGGGCTTATTTCGAATTAAACGAAACGTCATTTAAGAACTTGTTAATGTCATACATCCAAGTTAACTTTTGTAGCCTCGATTTCTACCCTCTGCGCTCCTTTGTCATATTTGAAGCACTCTGCGCAAATGGACATAATGAGATTTACCGATGTAAATGCACTTTACGCATACGTTGTCCTCTTAAAACTAAACGAAGACGAGTCTTTTCTAACCTTATCAAAGCCATTTTCCGTGTAATTATACCATTCCATATCGTTATTGCTGAACTGAATTAGATATCTCTTGACCCAGTGCTGTTTCTGGCTTCTGCCGTATGTTTCAATTCGTGTCACGCGTGTCTTCTTGGTGAAATCAATCTGAATATATTGCTGGTCATTTGTGATGAAGGCACACCACGCATCGTTGTCTCCGCCTAAACCCGAAAGAAAAGTGCATATAATTGAAACACATAATTTTCTCTCCAAATCTTACTTAGTCATTTGGTGCAAAAGACTTGATTATCCTTCGATGGACAATTGTCTAAAACGATGTTACTAGAAAAGAACACGATGTGATATCAATGATACTATTTCTAGCGATGCTTCAATACCACAACTCAGCGGTGATACATTCATCTTATACACCCTAACATCACCTAATATTCTCGCTCCCCATGTTATGGAAGAGCTGTTTAGTGGTGATCAACTCCTTTATTCTCGTAACTTTTATGTGTGAATTTAAGGGTGATATCTTAAAGAGAAATTAGATGCTTGTCACTCTTAGGGGTCAAAGGGCAAAAATCCGACTCGATATTGTATTTATTATAGCGGAGCTCGCAGAGCGTAGCCCCATAATTATACAAAATGGTAGTAGTAACCCATCAAGCCGAAAAAAAATTTGGACATATGACCGTACGACCGTACGACCGTACAAGGTGCTTCTTTTAACATGCGTGGTCAACTGTACCGCGGGCACGCCAACGCCACGGCTTTTTCCAGTAGTCCAGTGGTCAGTGCACTGGGCTCCGAGTCGGACGACCCGGGTTCTAGTCCTGGCCGGGGAAAGGCGTTGTGCCCTTGAGACGTACGGGAAAAAAATACGAGCTCCGCTTTTAGGCTTGGTTAAATCTATATATTACGCATGATGTAATACAGTAGGTAACAATGGTTTGGTCCGCATACCTGGCCTGGCTTTGTAGGGCTGCAGATATGAGTATGTAGAAGAGGCTGTCAGTTGATAATCTTTGATTTTACCTGACGCCATTCCTAAAGCGGATTCACACCCTGAAAGAAATTTGTTCTATTTTTATCCTATTTATCCGGTGTCAAAGAAATTTAGAAATATATTGGGTTTTTCACCGACACAACCTTAGCTGATGCTTACCTTTTTTAAAACAAATATGTTCATTTGAATGCGAAATTTATTCTGGACTGCAATAGTTTTCTTAGCTACGCGTTGTGATTGGGTTAGAGAGCTCACCCCACACCTTCCCCCCCTTCGATCCGATACAAAGCTAAAACCAATGGCGACTCGGTCGTCTGCGTTTTTCCTCGCTTCAGACAGTTTGCTTCGTTTAACTCTTGAGTCTTTTTAACTAGGTTCTACCATTACTTTGAATAATTGTTGTGATATCTATGGTTTGGTTTTACGTAACTTATGTGAAACATAATTACAGGTGTTTCCCGATATCCTATCAACAATTGATTTGTATTTTCCTGTAAAACACAATTTGGAAAAACTCTATTTAACCAGTATCTTTTTGCCTCATCATTATCAAAATTAATTCACTGATAGAACAACAGCTGGGCTGGGTTGTTCAAAGCTGGGTTTATATAACCCAGGGTTAGTGTGAAATCGGATTTCAGCTCTGGAAGCCTTAAAGGAAAATTCAGGAGAATTCTTTTTGTCAACAATTTGATGATTAGATGCTCCATATAGAGTAGAGGAAAATGATCCCAAAAAGGCTATCGAACAAAGAAGTATAGAAACCCAGATTAAAATTTAACCCTGGGTTAGCGCTAATCGGCTTTCGAAAAACTGGGCCCTGATGTCCAAATAAGGATACACAATATTGTCGTGATTTTGGTGAAATATTTTAAATCCATTCGCACCGGGTATATTGATCTCTATGGTAACTATTTGAGGGGGACTGGAGAAAGAGGCTCCTTTGGTTATCACGTGACCGTCGTCTGTGTAATCCTTGTAGTATAGCAAGCCTACTGGGGTTACAATATGATGTCGTCCATTTTTTAGGGAGAAGTCGTTGTCAAATATCACAGTGAAGTTAATTTTGACTTCTTCCGCCCACAAAATTCGGTCAATCTGAAACAAGAACAGAGAACCCAAGGTGAAGTCTCAATTAAGTGTTTTAAGCTGAATTGGTAAAGTAGGCCTCTTTCGTTCTAAACTTTAACTCCATGGCCCATTTTGTACGATGACATCAATTTGAGAGTATCAAAATTCCCTGAGTGTTGTTACTTCCGCCTGAATATTACTGTTACGTCCCTAGGTCAGGATCAAGACCCGATTCCGAGATCTACCATATTAAGGTCTGTGCCCTCACACTGCCTTTTATGGAACTTTAGCCCATAGAAAGACGAAATTATCTCTTGCCGTTACATCACTCGTTGAAAGATGTAACACACAAGAGCGAGTTGGGTCAAAACCACATGGCAGCTCAAAACTTACTTTTAAAGATTGTTACGCGTCTAACTCAAGTGATTAACTAATGGTGAAGCTCTCTGTCAGCTTACCAAGAAGGTCACACTGTCATCTTTCTGCTGAACTTGAAGAGAGCCCATCATTAAAGAAGAGGCCACTTTTTTAAACTTGACAAATGGCGTCAGCATCCAGGTCACATGAACGCCACGTGCGTCTGACCGTGACTCAGCGGAGTGCTTTACTATGAAAGTATATCCATATTCAGATCTGGGGACCGAAACAAACTTCCGTTTCTGTTATGAATGCAAATTATTAAAAAAGAACTGCGGTTAACAAGAACGGCAGTGGTAGAGACAAAGCCACGAAGCTAACTCAGTGAAAGGCAGAGTTAATTTCAGAGATTATTTTGAATGAATTACAACAGTTCTACACCCTGACAATATCACTCATGAATAACTATTGATTATTAATTGATTATTAAACAAATTTTCCGTGTTAGCATTTTAGGAAATGTACAGTGTGGAGAATATACATACTGATGTTAGGGTGTAAACGGATAAAGGTTTTTCGATTTCATGGTGGGAATGACATAAGTTCCAGAAAACTTATAGACACACTAGGTACGTTTAAAGAGTAAATCATGATATGTAATTTTTGGGAAGTTATCGTCTGCCGTAACAAACGTCAAGGGTACTACGGATTGACTCAAGTCCAGACTCTTTCTTGCACTTCTCGGTTCATCAAAGAAGGGCGACCTAGGTACTTAGCTTTTAAATTAACCCTGTGTAACTCATCCACTTACCCGTGTTTCATGGCCATACTGTTGTTCAGGTTGTGACCGATGGTCATCTGTAGTGCAGGTTCAACCTAAAAACGAAGATACATAAATTTACTTCATGCTCATGGAATATAACTGAGTCAGATGTTAAAAAGCTTCACTGCCAAATTTATTTTTTCGCTCTACGGATCTTGCAGACTAGTACTTCGAAGGGATTTTAAGTTTGTCTGTTCGGTCAATCATCTTCATGGCGTCGCATCTGTATGTACAAAACGCAACAGCGGAATTCTCCAGTCGGCCTCACACTGCAAGGCTCTTCTGACGTGACGTGGGAAAACTGGGCTGAGAATGATTCGAGAATGTCCCGAAAAAGAATTGTAGTAGAATGCATCCCTTAATGGTAATTATCATATGAACACCTCTCAAGGCATAAGGGATGTATGGGAGTTGAAAAAAAAAAGAGAAAGAATAACAAACAATGAAATAATATCAGCACAACAAGACTGGTTGACCCTTTGATCCGTAAGAGTGACTAGCATCTAATTTCTCCTTACAGTATCACCCCTGAATCAAACATTATTGTCATGAGAATAAAGGAAATGATCACCAACCGAAAAGCTCTCGATTAATTAACAAATTCTCCTTGTCAGTACGGTAGGAAATGTCTAAAGAACGGTATAGGGAATATACATACCGATATCAGTGTGGAAAGGGTTAAGAGTACTCTAAAAATCATACAAGAAACACGCAAGCGACCTACATTGTTTGACCTTCGTTGTATTCGATGATCCTCAGAACAAACTGCAACATAAAAATTTCATACAAGATATAAACAGCGGCGCGTGTAGTATACAGTGAAGGCTTTTGTACAAATCCGCAATTGTTAAAAAAAAATCGCGCTAAAATGCTGCTGTACGAAAGAATTTTAAGTTCCCTTCTTGTACTTTCTGTAGATTGATGAGGCTGACATGAACGTAGACGGTTGATTAAAACAAGCTAGAGTATATTTGTAGAGGAAAGACTACATTCCTTGATTTATTATTCACCTTCAGTCTGTCATAACATGCAAGTGTGTGTATAGACAAACTGAGGCTTTCGTTCTTAAATTATTCGTCACAACTAAAACAATAACGGCACAAAGGAGAGAAACGTAGAATTGAATGTGGAAAGTAATATTTACTTGCCACACAAGAACGTGATCAAATGCATGGTCCATCGAAGAAGGCGCGCAGTTACTAGTGACTACTATTCCAAAAATTGCCGAAAAAAATAAAGATATGGGTTTCTTTTCACTATTTTATACGATTAAGGCTCATGAAAATTAATAAAGTATCGATTTTGAAGCGCGTTCATCATGTTGAAACTCGGTGATCACCCTTTTTCACTTTTGAACCTGCCTTGTTATCACACTTGGGTGTTTCCAGTGAAAATCTTCTAAACTTACATGGAGCTTTTTGTATATGTTACTAAATGCCTTTAAAGAGTCACATTTACCTGAGTGAAAAAGATTTAGCCAAAAGAAAATAAAACAAATTGCTTTAGCTTCTTTCATGGCTTCTTCATTCGTCTTTCTTCAACGTTCCCTCTACTTCAAGATGTTTACCGATAAACAATGAAATATTCACCGAGTCTTAAACTTAGAGATAGCATATCATTGTTTTCACCTAGATTTAACAATGAAATTGAAAGTAGTGGTGGTAATTGATAAAGTACTTTATAATTGATAACAGCATGTCTGAGGAATGTTTTCGTGTCGACGATGTTAATGTACGTAAATTCAAGCGCCTCGCTGTGTGAGAGATGATTCCTTGTAACTAAATATATTTCTGTCTATTCCGTTAACCTGTAAGTAATAAGAAGGTCGATAGTACGGAAAGAAAACTGTAGAAATGATGATGTATGAAGCACACTTAAGTTTTAAGAATTCAGCAGCCAATTATCCAAAATGCATGTCAGCCAGAAGTGCTAATAAGAGTTGATAATAGTTTTTAAATCTTCAACATCAACGAAACTGTACAAAGTAAATGGATGGAGGAGATTAAAAATTAACTAAGTACTCCATTGATAACTGTATCAGTCGGACCAATGGAAAAACCCCGTAATAAAATCCTACTTTATCTCGAAAATTCGCGAGGATAATGCAACAGATAGAGGAAACAAATCCAACCTCCTCATCAATAAACAATTATAAAATAAAGAAGTAACTGCGATGAGTAAACACTTCATTGCCGCCTACATCAACACAACTGGAAGAAGATAAAGTGTGATTTGAAACGGTCTTATGGATGATGGGAATAGCATGTTTCCAAAAGGTGTAATGTAGGGTGTTGATAAACTCATTTTTTTCTTACACCCCATTCACACCATTAAAACATGTTTAATTAGAACACGTAGGTTTAACTGAATGAAAATCCGAAAATTTGAAATAGAAACTAAATTTTCCATAAGATGCAAGTGGTCATTAACTTTTATTTTCATTGCGCCAAATTTGAAGTCGAAAAACACCGATCAAAGCAGCTTTTAGAAAGAAAATATTTTTTTTAACAAAAAAGCTTTAAAACATGTGTAAGTTTTGGTGTGAATAGGGTATTAGTCTGAATATCGAATAGTTGGATATTCAGTAGTTAGTTAGGAAAAAAAGGGTGATATTTCTTAGTCAGTGGCTGGAATGTGAAGAAACAAAAGAAAAAACGGATGCTGATGAAAGACCTTAAGAAGCATAGCGAATTGTGAGAACTATTTCCTTTGCATGATGTTAACTTGACAGAACCTGAAAGCAGGGCGAAATAAGAAATGGGGAACAAGACTATAGACGAAAAACTTAGTAAGAAAATAACGCGAAATTCAACTCAGAGAGACCGTTTAAATAAAGGAATATGCAACCCAAACACGGCAGGGAACGTAAAATATCATCATCAACAACACAACAACATTGATTCATATGCAACAATTTTATTTCTGATCTTAGCAGTCATCTGATCATTACCGCAAGTCGTACTTAAATACAAAACTCCTTATTAATTTCAAACTAAGCAGAGGTTTTCTCACCAAAATTCAAGAAATTTACCTGCAGTTTGCTCCCACCTGTATGTCAGGTCCTTCATCTTCCCGAGGAGCAAACTAGGGGATACTAAGTTTTATCAACAAAACTGTCTTGGAAGTTTCAAAATTGAAGTAAAAATTTACAGCAAATCTGGGTTTAGTTAACTGTGTTGTTAACAACCCAGAAATGATCTCTCGAAACTACTAAGAGTTTATAAACCATAAGGCTAGTGTGAGACCACAAGAAATATTGAAAAGAAAGACGCGTCTTCTATGTTTGTTACAGTTCGATATCCCTTAGCCCTTTTCCTAGTATTGTTTACCAAATATATTGAATTCTTAGTTGTAACATGTCCCAACAAAACTGTAATCTACCGCGAAAATGTTTATTTGATATTTTCCCCATAAGAGTCCCATTTTCTAACTTTATGAGTTATATGCAAACTTATACATGAGTTCTATATGTGATGAAGGTGCACTATTTACAAGCTTCATAGCTGTCAACACCCATCCATCTCATTACTGGCCGCAACATTTCCATGTGCCCACCAGGCTCCACGCGTCACTTCCAGCAGTCATCGCATGAATTCCACGCCCGGATACTGGAAAACAAAATAAAGGAAAAGCGTACACTTTTCAGGGGAGGGCATGCACAAGGAACAAGAGGCAACCAACCGAAACCGGATCAACAGGATCCACTGGGGACCGCTTATTATTTATCATCTGAGGGGTTAGAGGATTGGGTTGTGTCACCTGATCCCACCTCACTGGCATTCAACTGGCAGTCAATTTGCTCAAGTCCCCCCTTAAACTCTGTTGGCGAAGACTGATCCCTCTTCCACTCCCTCTGAAAACCATGTGATCTTCCCCAAACTCCCCCTTCTCCCACACAACATAACAAATAATGACTGGCCCTTCTTGCATCAGTAATATAAAATTTTTTCTCAAACCACTCACCTCCCCAGGTAGTCCCAGTAGAGTCAGCGAGCGCTGTCAGGTCACTCGTGGGCATCTCAGACACAAGATTTTCTGGAAGAGCTTTCGCTTTAATCAGCTGGGATTCTGTCAGTGTCTTGTTAAAGTAACCGTCCGTGATCTGTCGCCAGGATTCACCCGAGTCACAACTGCGATGGAAGTTCATTCTTCGGTCCAAACCATATATTTCCTTCAAGGAGGGATTTGAAGCAGCTACACTGATAATGAAAGGCTGAACAGCTAAAAAAAAGATGCAGTTATAAGCTTGGAGCTGATTAATCTTTATACTAGACCACGTTCGGGTTGTATAGATGTGAGTCAGGTACAAAATGTTGAAGCTTCGAGAAAATCCCGTGAAAGGAGACAAGTTCAGATATTACTATTTTGAAGTGCTTTTCTTTATGAGATCCATTGCACCAGTAAAATCATCGGAAGAAACTAAACCAGGACTTCAAGCACCAACATAATCCTTCGCATGGCAAAATCGTCTTTCTATGTGCGTTACGCTTGAATCAATGATCGGTGGAAGGGTGTTGGGAGGCTAATTATAAACTTGAGGGGGGAGAAGGCACTAGAGTTATACTCAAATAGAACAGTCATGTTTACTTACCAATCCATTCCACACCATCTGTGGTTGAAAAGCAGCTGCTTTCAGCTCTAGGATAAATTTGTTGGATAAGTAAAATTTTCTGCTGTTTGAACGGTCAAGAACAAGACAGCAGACCGGTTCCGATTTTCAAGTTCAATTGCGTTTTGTGAGTCTCATATTGGTCAGTTGTTATAGGCGATATGAAACCCCAACTGAAAGGTTACTATCAAAAGCTCGAAAGAAATAACAAAAAAAATCTGCGGTATCGATACTCACGATTCACTTGTGTACATGCAGGCATAAAACCTGTCAGTGTCGGGATCCAACAGGAAGGACCGTCGAGCGTACAAAGAGACGCCTGAAGAGCAACAGCAAAAGGGTTTAGATTCAGTCTTAATTTGATACGGTGCCTGCACGAAAAACGATACTCTTCATTTGCACTTGTCAGGGACAGGTCATTTATTGTCTGGGAGGGGAACCTCTTCGGAGGATTTGTTTGTGTTACAATAAATTTAACCTGATCCCCTCATAAGGCTCTGTAGTGTTCTAGTGAACCCCACCCTCTTCATGGGTAGTCCGCTTTCCACAGTCC